GTAACAGGATTCGAGGATCGAGTTGTAGTTCACTTTCTATTTCGATAAGCTCTTCCTCAGATTAGATTGTGTTAGGGGCGTTTAGGTGATGGACCTCTCTGCACTGCGACCTGAATAGATCTGTTGTGCTTCCCCTATTTCTAGTAGGTTCCCAAGTTGAGACTTTTCGCGAATCTCACGATTTTTCCGGGATTGGTTCATTTATCATCCGCAGCAGTCAAATGTGTCTGCTCCAGGTAAATAAGTCTTCTGTGACATAATGCTTCGCATTTGCAGAGTACATGTTCGGCAGATTCGGATGCTTCTTTGCAGAAGCGGCAAAAGGTCTGATTCAGCTTCACCCATCTTTTTCAGGTGCTAGCTAAGAAGGCAGTGGCCGGTGAGGAGACCTGTTATGAGCTTCAAGTCTGGTTTGTTGAGTTCGAGTAGTTCCTTTGCTTTTGTAGACTCTGGCGAGATGAATTGCTTCGCAAGCTCTTCCTTTCGTGGAAATTCTGTTGTGCCATTTTCATTCATGTTTGAAAAACTATTTTCTGTGTCATTGTTCGCGTCATCTATAATTACATTTTCCTCATCAAGGGTTATTAAGTTCTCCCAGCCTTCCTCCAATATAAGTCCATCCTCTATTTAAATAATGATACCAGGATTTTCTCTCGGATTTTCTAGTATCTTATTGAAACTTTTTCCCGAATCCGTATATATTTTAAGCCAAGTTTCAGAAAATGTTTTGTTCTCATCATTCTGTTTCCAGGCAGCTCCTTGTTGATTGTAGAATTTTGTAAGAAGCAGTGGATTTATGTAGGTTGCAACAACATTTAAATGATTAATAATGTCCTGGTTTTCTGTTAGTGTTATTTCTCTACTGTGGTTGTTATTAAATTTATCAGAATCACCTTATTGTAATTGACCTTTAAAGATTCAAACAGCAAAAGTCCACAACTTTTTCTAAGGAAGAAAAAGTAGAAATGATGAAGTGACATTTGTTTTTTAATATCTACCATGTCAAATAAAGTCAGAAAAAAATAAAACCAATTTTGCAAAATACCATTTTTTCCCGAATATTTTCGGAAGCATTTGGAATTTATCAAATTTCAAAACGGCATTTTATTGACCATAAAATTTCGCAACTTTGTCCTAATTCAACCGACCCTATATTTCTCACCGTTTCGGAGATCCCAATGGTCAATCTCAAAAAACGAACTGCACCCTGTATAATATTTAACATAAATATACCAAGTCATATATCAAAATTTAGGAAATTTTACGCTCTTTTCAATAACATCAAAATATATAGGGTGGTCCGTATGAAACAACTGAGTTTGGCGTCGTATAAAAAAAACCAAACACCCTGTATAAAAACTATCTATCGCAATGAATTCTACATAAAAAAGTGCCCTAAGAAACATTTTACCATAATCAATTATCTTTAATAATAAGAAAGTTATGGGGCATTAAAGAAATCGACAAAATTCGAGAAACGCCCTGTAGCGGCTAAAAGATTAGAAATAGCAGAATTTTGTTTCCGCCATTGATTTGCTTATTAAATTTGAGCTCCAGACAGGTGTTTCCATAAGAAAGTGTCCAATTTGGACCACCCTGTACAACAATCATTTTATATTAAATTTCAATTTAAATTTTCTTTGCAAGAAACTAACTTTTTGACAGAATTCAGAGATTTAATATTCCAAGTATTGCTGAACCTGATACTACCTTATTCTTTTCTGGGTACCTACTCTACATAAAGATCACTGTTTAGAGTCTGGATCAGCTGGAGTGACGTCACCCCAGTAATCTATCCTCTTCCTGGATACAGGAAACAACACGAAGAGCTCCGGATTGGAAAGCAGGTACTTGGTATCAGATTCACCAAGAAAGACCAAGCTGTTAACACTGAAATTATAGAGGGTGTAGAGCTGTGTGCACGTTGAGGAGTAATGAAGAATGAAAAAGTTTGTCTTTCGTGCAAAATTCTTTAATAAATATCAGTGCAAAGCGCTTTCGGCCGTGGCCATCATCAGTGCAACCTGAAAGTAAGGAAAAACACTTTCTGAATTCGTTTTCACCAAAGATCTTCCGATATTTTAAAGTGTTAATTTTTAATTTTTAATGTGATGTTTTCGTTCCTTTACACCTATATGTTCAACGAGAAGACTCTTTGTACAAACCTGACGAAGTGAGTAAATCTACTTTCTTTAGTAATTATTTTCTTTCTTTTTGAATATTTTAAATAAATTTAGATTAAATTTTCCAAGATTTTTCAGATAATTTTCAAAAAATTTCAAAAAATTTCAAATTTTCCAAAATTTCCAAACTTTCATAAATTTTTCCAGTATCTTCAGAAAGTGTTTTTCCTTACTTTCAGGTTGCACTGATGATGGCCACGGCCGAAAGCGCTTTGCACTGATATTTATTAAAGAATTTTGCACGAAATACAAACTTTTTCATTCTTCAACACTGAAATTGACTACATAATATTGTAAACAAAATAAAATTATTGTTTGTTGGATTTTAAGTGGTTTCATTTGCACGCAAAGGGGCTACACGTTATCTTATTTTATTTTTTTGAATTCCACGACCCTAGGTAATCTTGTTTTAAAGTAACAAATTCCATTTAATTTGTAACAGGGTTCACAAGATCAATGAAAAATACAAGTACACTTATTTTCCCAGACATAAATATTTCACATTTACTGTTTGATTCTTTAAAATAATGAGAGTGGACTGTATTATTTATATATTCACATTTATTTACACACACGACTATTTACACTATTTACAATTTGCATTTTCTCGTTTTTGTTTACGTTTTTAGACTTATAGAGTCTGTAAAAATGGTCATATAGGACCTGCCCAGAATTATCTGGTGCGCTCGGTGAGGTTCGATTCGACACTGACTGCTCCCGTTGGTTCACTCGCGTAGATGCCGGAAGCCACTTTACCAAAAACTTTGACAAGTGATTTTTGACACTGTTTGACACATACGCGCACACTTCCGGTGCATACCGGGAAAATTAAAATTTGAATTTTAAATTTACTGTTGGAATATTGTTTCCAACATTTACTACAATAGAACATAAATTATATGAAAATAGCAATTTAGCTTATCTCAGATAGTGAAAGTGAGTCTGGCTGAAAATTTTCGGTTCTTCAATTTTTCACTTGCCAGACATATAATCCATACTCACAGATTAGCCGGACTATTTTTTTACGTAACTTCAGTATACTTCTCATAAGTAGACCTATTTAAATCACTGAGAAAAAAAGGGCCGTGCATTCGTAAGCTTTAACGCATTTTGCGCCTCAATCCATCGGAAAACCCCCCCTAAAAATATATGTATTTTGCTTAGAATTACTAACCCTACAATTCTATCCATGTTGTCTGACTGGGAAAATAAGTACCGAAAATCGTCACTGCCTCCTAGACTATCATCTGTATATCTCTATACAGTGAAATTATACTACGTAAATGGAATGGCACCAGCATTGATCACGCCTGAGGTAAATTTTTAATGGAGTAAAAGGGGTGACCGTCCTTGTCTTACGCATTCTTAGACAAGGCTAGGTGGATTTATTATACCCCACCATTGCTTGTAAATATATACACGTGCGACAGAGCAAACAACCCCTTTTATTGTCGATCTCACTATCATGAAATTTGCCTCAAAAATGGACATTGAAAGCAGCTGTTAGGTCCGTTCCAGTTATGTGTAGTAGTATATAGTTCATTTTCTGTATATCGACGTGTTAAGGGCCGGTTTCTCAATAGCGAGTCACCTTCGGCTTGGTTTTAATTCCAGGGTAAACGTGTTCAGTTGCAAGTTTACCCTGATGTTATGCTTAACCTGGGGGTGACTTGCCATTGAAAAACCGGCCCTATGAGATGAATAAACATTTATTAGCTGCTCTTTTATCGGAAGAGGAAGAAGAGGAATATTTAAAATTATTGAAAAAAAAAAGGTCAAAAAACTAGAGATGTCTTTAAAAAAGATCCATAGAACGCTACCATAAAGAAATCATCTAAATGACGATGAAAAGAAGTTCAGAGCTTTCCTCTAAAGCAGAAAATTTTGGCGTCATAATTATGGAAATAGCTAACAACGTGGTTGACTTCAATAATGTCTGCGGCCAGATTGAGACACACGTCTCACAACAAAATGACAATGGCTCGACTATCACAAATTTCAATAATAAATAAACTGTGCGATTGTTCTGAACCGTTCTAGAACCGTCGTTTTTTCAAACCCGAACAAAGCTTTAATTTTCGTGGTATAGAGTTGCGTCAGACGCAGTCTGTCAGCCGCGTGCATCCGCCGCTTCATGGGAAACGTACCTTTACAGTGCAACAGTGACACACTTGACGTGTAACAAAAACATTGTCAAATTTTGTCAAAGATCAACAAAGGTGTTACGTTGATGCCTTCTACGATCCGCAAACCCAGTGACGTTGATGCCTTCTACGATCTGCAAACCTAGTGATCAGGTGCGAAGTATTCCAAACATTCAACATTTAATGACAGATCAGAGCAGAGTGCAATAGCGGAACACACGCAAAGTTATTTACAAGTGAAAAATACCGGAAATGCTCAATTCAGGAACCACATATAACCGAACAGAACGGAGGCGAAGAACAATAGTGAATCACATGTTGAGAGATGGAAAACTCGTGCAGCACTAGCTATTTCCTTATAGTACTAATCGCCATGAAAAATGGTACTACCAGATTTTATTAGTTTATCTAGGAAACCGAATGTCTCAAAAACTCTCGATAAGGACTTTCAACATTCAATGGAGAATACATTTCTTGAACCTGTGGTATCCTTAGATAAAGTCCATACAGATAAAAAAAAACAACCGAAACAGATTCACCAAAATTAATTTCTCGACAACATCCGGTAAAAAAAAAGATATTAAGCATTCTTCTACCTATCAAACGCCTTCAATACTATAATCTACAAATATATCGTGAAATCCTAAAAATAAATAAATGGATTCTCACTTACCTTTAACGCAGCTCAAAGATTGACACTGACTGAAAAATAATAATATTATATGCAGAATCAGTATCAGAGTCCTATGTCAAAACAGGTATCGGTGCAACATAAAATTAAGCAATTTTTTTAAATTAATTATTATACATAAAAACGTAATTAAAGAACTCATTATAATTTCATAGCATTCAAATGCATATATATTTTAATAAGTTATTTATTGAACGTGGACTTTCTACGGTGAATTGAGGAAGCATAATATTCAAGCCAATGATACTTCAATAATTGAAGAATTTTCGTTTACCATATCGGACTTTAGTTAACATTTTAGAAATTCATGATGGAAATTTCTTCATAATCGTTCCGTATCCTAGAATTATTATTGAAAAAAACTAGTATTCATCAGACATGGAGCAACAAATTACGACGTTTACTTATATTTAATTTACGATATGGATCAGCAAATCCCTAATGATTAACCTTTTGGATTCATTTGGCTCCAGAATTTGAGAGTTCTCAAACAAGACTCCATGTCCACTTAAAAATAGCAACATCATTTTCTAAGATTCATTTACCGGCTGCGACACAAGAGATCAGAAATCATCAAGGAAGCAGCAATTATTTTTTACAACTCTTCCTCCACTCACTGCGTAAGATTGAAGAGACTGGGAAGATTTTCTTCCTCAAATGCTATGAGACAACAGCAAGACAGACATCCCTCAACCCAGTACCGCTTTCATTCGTTCATGAGGTTAATGGCAAATCCTCTTCCCTTCAGCAAAAATCACCCACCACCATTGATGAGAATGCCAGGACCCTCACAGCCAATGAGGTTGAAGAGACGTGAATCCAGAAAAAGTTGAGAGTTTAAAATTACCTATTACGTCACGAATCACATAAGGTCATTTTTGATAGAGGGACAAACAGGTCATTGGGACGAATACGATATTTACATTTACTTGCGTGATTTTTTAATTGATTTAATCAGCAAAATTATAATAAATTATATATATCTGTACCTCAGAGGTAAACTGTATTAAGTCACTTTTTTTTCGAAAATGGGTTTTTAGCTGAATACTACTTCTAATGACATTTCTTATTTTTTCTATATTCGTCTCCCAATAATTATTATAAAATTGACAAAATCGTGGGTTGGGGAGTGGCAAATAACACAAATTTATTCTTTGCGACGTTTCGTAACTATATATTGTTACTTTTTCAAGCACTGAATAATTAGTGTTTCTGTGCACACATTAATAAACCATTTCCATGGGTAATCCAGGAAGTTTTAAACATTTTCACACACGCAAGCTAGAACTTTTGTTTTTTTTTTTTTTGGTACGTATTGCTATCACGTTTATCACGGAACCACAGTGGTTCCTACACCTAGCTTTTAAGACAACCGAAATTCCCAGTTGGAACCTGTGTCAGCGGTGACTCACCAGGCTTAGGGCGGGTATTATAAAACTACTTTGAGAGTAAACTTAAAGTTAACTTCTGGAATTACATGTAATTCAAAAAGTTAACTTCAAGTTAACTGTCAAAGCAGTTTTATAATACCCGCCCTTAAAGGTAAATTGTACCAGAATCACTTAGTGTCAGTATATTATTAAATTATAATATTATGACTTAATACAATTTACCTCTGAGGTACAGATATATTTTTTCCTACGACTGCCTCTGAAAATGGAGTTTTTCGCACGCTAGGCAACCTCTGAAATTAGAGTTTTTCGCACAGCGTGCGAAAAAGTTTTTCACACGCATTTTAGCGTGCGAAAAAGTTTTTCACACTCGTTTGAAAACCTTTTTTCACACTTGCTCGACTTGTGGAACTCGCCTACGGCTCGGTCCAACAAACTGTCTCGCCGTGCGAAAAAAGTCGTTTTCAAAACTTGTTGTTTAAATAACTATTTTTTGACCGTGTTAAAGCATTCCTAAAGATAACAAAAAAGTTGCCAAGTCATTTGGAAGTTTCAAAATCATCGTGTAATATTGTACCTAGCTAGTTTCTCTAGTTTTTCAAAGTTTGTAAAGTGTAGAGTAAAAGCCAAATTAATGTTGTTTTTTTTTTCTATTTCAGTTTAGCAAGTGCGGAAAATTATGCTTTTCCGCACCTAACGGCGTTTGCACAAACGACGCGCTAGCCCAGTTCGTAGTAGCCGTAAGTGCGGGTAAGATACTTTACGTTCGTGTTAGGAACAGCATTTTTTTACGAGCGTACGGAAAACGCGTTTTCACACACCGATTTGCGTGCGGAAAGTAAGTACCACTTTTCCGCACAGCTTGAGTGAAAAATTTTTTTGACGCTCGCTGTGTAATAATTGAGTACTTTACCAGAGTTGCGTAGCTGTTATGTTTGAGCTACTTTAGGCTTACTTTCTGAGGTGTTGATTAAAATATAGCACTGTTTTCTAAGGAATCTTATTTTATATTCTTTTCCCAAAGATAAAATACATGTGTGTCTGGAGAAATAACATAACCACTAAATTCCAGTTTTCTTCCGTCAGCTGATATCATCCAATTCTTTAGAATCGACTATTACGAAACCTAGACACCACCAACCAAACAAAACCAAAAAAAATGAAAGTAATATTCCTGAAAATACATTTTGAAAAAAATACTTAATCACTTGATGAATCAGAATTGGTCTATTGAAAGACTATTATTTCAAATAAGTTGGTCTTCTCAGAAGTCCTGATGGACGTATAATGTCTGTTTGCTCATTTGTCATAAACTCTGTTTTTGATACGTTCATTTCTAATCCAAACTTCTTGGAGTAATTCCTCCAGCATGATTTCTAAGTTTGTTTCGTTCGGGGCGAATATTACGATGTCATCAGCGAATCTTAAATTATTGAGGTTTTCTCCAGATATATTGATCCTTCTATTTTCCCAATCTAGTGCCTTGAGCACATCTTGGAGGACTGGGGTGAACAGCTTAGGTGATATTATATCGCATTGTCTTACGATTCTCTTAATCTTCACTTCGTTTGTATCTTCATGCATTCTTATTTATATTTTTGTTGCTTGTTAAATATTTTTGATTACCTATATGTTTATATATCGCTGATCCATGCATTTCTCATAGCTCTTTCTATCAGCCAGAATTCGACAGTGTCGAAGACTTTCCTAAAATCGATAATCGATAAATGCTAGCCATCTTGTAATGTTATATTCAGTTGTCTTCTCACAAACTTCTCATTAAGTATTCTTGTGTGAAGATGTTCTATAGTGCTGTAGCTCTTTCTATATCCTGCTTGTTCTTTAGGTTGGTAATTATCGAATTTCATTTCTACATGATTATTTTCATAAACAGTTTGTATATCTGAGACATGAGGCTTATGGGTCTATAGTTTTCAGAATTTGATGGGTCTCCTTTTTTGTATATCGGAATGACGATGGCAGTCTCCCAGTCGTGTGGTATTTTCCCCTCTATTAGACATTTATTGAAAAGTATTTTCAGTTGTTTTCCACGGTATTCTGCTGCCTCCTCCAGCATTTCTGGTAGTATATCGTCCATTCCTGAGGCTTTTCTGTTGTTTATTTGTCTTTGCGTTTTTATAGTTTCTTCCTCTTCTATATCAGGGAACTCTTTGACCCAACATTTAGAATTTTGGATGTTTCGGTTTCTTATTTGTAATTAATTTCGTTGTTGCTTTTCGCGTCCTACAGTTCCTTAGAGAAATTTTCCGCCACACGAAATAATTCATTTTTGCCTTCTTTAATATTTCCTTGTTTGTCCATCAGCTTTGTAATTTACGTTTTTGTGTGCGTTCTCCCTTTTGAAAACGTTTAAGCCTTTTTGTTGTCCTATCAGTTTGTCGATTTGTTCTTCTTGTTTTGTCATCCTTTTGGCTATTTTCTTAGTCTCTCTGTATTCTAGTGTAGGTATGTTTTTTCCCTTGTTTTATGAGTTCTCTTCTCTTCTTCAGGATTTGTTTTGTTTCTTTGGTAAATTTATCTGGCCCACCCATCCGTTTCCTGATATTTTTTTTCTATTTCTTCTATTGTTTTCGTTAATCTTTCATTAATTTGATTTTGGTCTTCGGGTGGTTTTATGGGTACTTTCTCCAGTTTTTGTGTTAATTTGTTAATTTTGCTGCGAATTTTGTTTTTTGTGTTTCACTGGTAAGTGTGCTTAATTTCTTCTCGGTTGAATTTCTTTGTTCTTTCTAGTCTGCCATTATGATGGTTATTTCACATCTCACCATTCTATGATTGCTGCCAGCCTATTACATATAGAAAATTAGAAAAATCATCAGATTTTCAGACTTTTCTCGGTTTTTGCTTAAACTTTTCATTAAGAACCAAGGATCAATACCTAGATTATGCTGCGAATGAGCATTCAATCTTTTTTTTTTAATTTATAACTGACTCTAAAACAGTGAGAATCACTGGTGCCAGAGCCTCAATATACATACAATCAGGTTATAATAATAAGTATAAAGTGTGGTAATAAATTACAGTTTTCAGCTTAATTATATATTCATTTACACTGCAAATATAATTTCAAATTTTGAGTTAATTGTTTCATCGTCTTCATTTCCTCAACTGTCTTTGGTATAGTGTTACAAGTTTGTATAATGCTATACAATGGAGATATTTGGGTTTTTAAAGTTCGTGAATAATTTGTTCTGAAGTCACTTGCACCTCGGATATCATGGTCATGTAACTGTTTCACTTGCTTAACATTTAAATTGGTTTTTAGAAGTGTATTTTTTAGGCAATACAAAAATTTTGTTTGTTCAAAGGTCCTAATCTTTTTTATGTCTCATATTTTTGTTGTTTTATACACAAGTTCTGTTGGAGTGAGCCGGTCTAAATTGAAGATGGTTTTTATTGTTTTATTTTGTGTCCTTTGTAGTTTATTTAATACATAAGTAGGTAAGTTTCCCCAACATGGAATTAGGTATCTAATATGAGGCAGAATAAAGCTGTTATAAAGCAAGAGTCTAGATTTTCTATTTAAACTATTTGTACATTTTTTTATTGCACCAACGATCGGAACAATTTTTTTTTATTTTCAAACGTCATATAACAGTAATTTTTGTGATCATTTTGACAAGGTATAAGTGTCACTTCAATGACTTTCAGCTTGAGCGGCGTATAAGTGTTATACTCTACCGGCGTATAACATTTATTATACGCCGCTACACATGTTTTTTCCCATAGTGATTTAAGGTAGTTCACCTGTACATACAGGTATAGGTGCTTATAAAGGTGAACCTTCTAAATATGAA